CGACACCCCGTTGCGAGAGTCCATCACAGTCTAGTGCCCCTCTCCCCTCCCCGGCCTTTTACCAGCTGCGGGTCTCATTATTTTGAGGCGCATTAGACGATAGCAAAATTGTGGCCAGGATCAATTTGTTGCGCTAACATTTATTGTAATTTATGATTTGCTTTGGCAGCAGCGTTGTGATTTATATACATATATATATATATATCTTTTATTTTTATTTTATTTTATTTTATTTTTGGCAGCAAAAAGGATTTGGCCACTCTGAAGTGCGGCATTGGTCTAAGGACTTGCGGGCATTAGCTCGCCTGGTAATGTCACACGGCAGCAAAAGTTTCAGCAAGTTGTGCAAAGTTCTTGAGTTTTAACTTTTTTATTTTATTTCTCTCAGCTTTTCCATCTGCTTGTTTCAGCTGCGATTGGCTCTCATTTCAAAGTTTCGCCCGATACTGTTGCAAGCATTTCGTAAAAAATGGCATACAATCTGTCAGCGAAATGTTGCTTACCAAGTGGCAAGTGGCAGGAGGCGGGAGGCAGGAGGCAAGGGTCTGCTAGAAAATCAATTGAAATTTTTCCCTGGGTCTCAGGTGTTTATGGACGGAGCAGAGCTGCAAACTTTTATTATTACAAATCCCATCCAAATATCGCCAATGCAGCAAATGTCAATCGAAAGCCCAACAAAGTAATACTCTGAAAATGAAGTTTTCTATTTTTCAAAATATACCACGCCACGATGAGGAGTTGAAGGGGTATGATGGACTTTAGGTATTGCATCATTCAGCAATTTATTTAGTTTTTTAATTAATTTTCCTATTACTTTTTTATATTATTTTTATTGTTGCCTTTAATATTATTATTTACAAGTTCCTCCTTTGAGCTCTTACTATTTCACATAAATATCTGAGTCACAATACCTCACAGGGTATCTCGCATATCGATTCCTGGCCTTTTTCACATTGCTTTGGCTTTCATTCAGTTCACAATTGTCAATTACATTGCCATTAGCTGTGGCCTCAGCTACGCCCTATTTATAACGCCTAAGCAAAATGCATATTTCATGTTCCATCATTATAAAAAAAACAAAACAAAACAAAACAAAAAATATGTTTTTGTCGGCTTTTCCATAAAGCAGATACAAAATTATAAAAGAAATATGTTTCTCCCATTTTTTGTTGTTTTTTGTTTTTGTTGTTTGAAGGGGACGCGTGACTGACTGACAGCTGCTGACCAGAACACGGCTCTGACGAATGCCACCGAAACAGACGAAGATGAGGTGGATGATGCTGATGCTTTGGGTGCGGCGTGGACCCAATGTGCCTCGTCTGGGTTTCATGTTTCATGCGGCCATGCTGCTATTGCTGCTGTTGTTGTTGTTGCTGTCATTCCACGGAATATGTCAAGCCAGTAGCGCAAATTAGCCAAACGTTCTATTTGCTGGCGGCTGGCGGAGTTTGTGCGGCAATGGGCGGCAGTGAAGCGCGCGAATTGTAAAAGTTTATTTTGACAGCACTTGTTCCAGACACCTTACGCTCTCGCACGTGTCCCGTGGCATGGTCCAGGGCGTGAACATGAACATGAGCTCCTCAGCACCTCAGTCTGGCTTCAATTTTCTGTCATAATGTCTATAAAGAGGCTTTAAAAACTTTTGGCGTTTCATTTTTTTTCTGTATGTAATATTCTGTTAATATTTGAAATATTATTAGTATCTCGTAGTGGACATTAATTTTTTTCAATATTTTTTTGTCAAGTTAAATAGTTTGAGAAGTTCTATAATTTTTTTAAAATTTTGTATACTAATTAAAATAATAATAATAATAAAAAATAAATAAAGTAATAATGTAAAAACTATCATAACTTAAATTTCAAAATATGTTTTCACCTTTATGTTATTATATGTATATGCCAATAGCTACTCTAATGGACTATCTTTTGCCTGGGCACTCTGGTCTGGCCTAATTTTATATTCTGAATTTACTGTGTTTAATTTAGCTACGAGACATTTTAATGTTCTTAAAACTCTTGGTACTATAAACACTAAGAATCAATTATTAAGAGTGTGAGGCTTAAAAGTGTGTGAAAATATGTTTGAGCTCAGGAAAGCAAGTGCATGCTAAGTGCCTTTGCTGAAGTTACTACCAACTTGAGGCCATTCACCATACTGGCTATAAAAGTGTCTTCTAGTTGTAGGCGGGTCAATAAATATTGATGGCTTTTATCTGCTGCTAGTTGAAAGTCTGATACAGAATTTACTGCTGCACACTAATTACTACCGACAGCTCTTGCATTTGTAGTGGCTATATATGTAGCAGTATATCTACTCCCAAATCGGCTCTATCAAAAACCCATACAATATCAAAACGCAAACATCTGTTAAATTCCCGAACATGATTCTATGCCCATAGCGTTGCCAACGGTCTATTGCCAATTATTTACCTGCACACACAAAACCATAATTAATTGGGCCTGGAAAATCGGCAAAAACGATTAGCCGCACAATCGTCGAATAGCTCAACATTTTAGCATGAAGTGCCATGTAATTACTTTTTGGCAGCTCCATGAAATCAGCAGAAAATCACAATTCGAGGAAATTAACTCATTTCCACATAAATTAGTTCCGAGCGCCGCTCAATGCTGCAAAATATTATGCGTCGATTATGATTAACGATCATTGGCCGCCATTTAGGCGATGATGTCGAAGGGGAGGAGGGAGGGGGGGAGTAGGCAATGTGGAAATGGGGATGGGCTTAGTGTATGTGACTGCGAAGGGCGCGGCAAAGGTAGCTCAAAACGGGTGGCATAAATAACTCAACGCAATGCAGTGAGTGTGCACAAAACGAGACGCGCCCACTTTTTTTCTTTGATGGGCGGAGCATAAAAAAATTACTGCTGTAAAAGAAATTTTAGCTCTCGCATACCATTGCATATTTACAGAGAGGGTAGTTGGGTTGGGTTAAATATATTTCGATTTTTTTATGATAAAGATTTTTCGAATTTGTATATAATATTTATATTTAATAAATATATTGTTAAATATTTCTTTTTTTTATAATTTTATATAAATATATTTTACGAATTCTTCATTTGTTTATTAGCATGTATTATAAATTTGTCATATTTTTGTAAATATATTTTTTGCATTTACTGTTAATTATTTATTTTAAGCATCATCTCGATGCAGAGTATTGGCTATTCGATCAGAATCATTTTGATATTATTATACAATCTATTTTATTTTATTATTTTCGTCTGCACCGCCTAGAAATATTTATGAGCTGAGCACGCGACGTTCGCTGGCGGCCAATTTTTGAGGACAAGACAGGAATTCAGTGCAGAGCGCGGCAATTACGCGAGCCTCGAAAAAATATTGCCAAAGTCATTGACTGGCCGAGGAATTTATGAATTATATAGAAAGCAGAGCCAGAACGAAAGATGAGCATTGGCAAAAAAAAAAAAGAAGAAGAAGCAGAAGCAGAAAAAGAAACGAAGCGTAGAAAGATGCTCCAAGGGCAAAGCGGCAAAAGGAATATATGAGTGTATATGAGTTATTGGCACGCATAGCCAAGTTTTTCACTTTACTGATTCATGAAAAATACATTAAAGTGAAACGAGAAATCTGTAAAGTTGCGAGGCGCGCCCCTTCTCAGCTTGCGATTGGTAGGCAGTCATTAAAAATGAATTTGTGCCCAAAGCGCAGCTAATGAATAAAGAAATTCTGAATCAATTGAAAGCGTGTATATGTATATGTATATGTAGGTTGGTGGGTATGTATATTTAGGTATATATGTATGTGAATGTGTGTGTGTGTGTGTGCATGCCTGCTCTCTTTGCAATCAATCAGTTGCCCAATTCAGCCCCACTCTGCCGCCTGTTTGCCTGTTTGTTTATTTGTTTGGCTCCGCTTTGTGTGCATGAAAGGACATTTTCGAGGGCCACACCCAGCGTCAAGTCGGGCCGAGATTTATACATTTGACATATTAGTGCAGGCCAGTTGAAGAAATTGATTCCTGCCATTCAGCACAAAACTCAGCCCCAGTGTCCAAAAATGTCCAAACTTGAGATTATTGGAATGGCCATGAGTGTGAGTGTGTGTGTGTGGGTGTGGGTGTGTGCGCTCGCCAGCTAAACGAAAATTGAGTTATTGAGCAGCGAAAGGTTGAAAATGTTTTCGCTTCCTTTTGCTGTTCAGTGCGTTGTTTGCTCAGATATTTCCTTTGCAGCTAATAGCAAATCCAAAGGGTTCGGCATACGAAGGGGTTTAAATTTCCACACATTTTTTTGTTGTATCAAATGAGCTATGAGGCTTAGGATAGTATACCGAAATTTCACTTTTTCCCCAGACATGAATGATTGAAAAAAGTTTCATGTATATGATATTTAAGCATGAATTTGATTGATTTAAAACAGATGCAGACACGAGGAGCTGACGTGGCTTAAATTTCTGCTGGCTCAGAATATTTAAAAAAATATATATATAAGTATAATTAAGGGAAAATTAAATTAATATTGAAAATATGAACAACTTCAAAGCAAATCCTCAAGAGAATAAATTCAATATGTTGTTAATAAGTAAGAAAATTTGTTAAATCAGTTTTAATTAAATTATTATTAAATTAATGAATGTTGAGATGATTTATTTCAACAAAATTATTTATTATATTATTAAAGGAAGCCTCCACTTCCGATAATTATTAAAGTGCAAACAAATGCTGAACGTCAATGGGCAACCGAAGATGTTGTCAATGTCGCAAAAGCATGTGCTCGGTTTATGAACATGTTGGCTAACAACATTGTTTATTTTGCCACTCACCAATACACACAGGTTGTGTCAAACACACACACACACACACCCACACAGTGAGATGTGTAGGAGTATATCTGGAAGCGACTCGCGAGTAAAGCATCTAATGAAATATCCCGAGGGAAACGTCGATTGGGCGTTCGACGTGATGAGTTCTACGCAAACATTTGAGCAGCGCTGTCAACAACATGCCAGACATATGGACGGATGGGATGGACAACAGGAAACGGGAAGAGCAGAGAGCGAGAGCAAGAGCGAGAGCGACTGCGACGCACAAGCCGCAGGACACGCGACGCGCGACAGCAAGACAAACCGGACAGACAATTGACGTATTTTGTTTATGGGCCATGCTGCGCACATTGATGACAGTCAAAATCCATCAGGGGAGTCAGACGAGATGGCTGGATGGCGAGATGGCTGATGTGTTAGTTGAGCAGCACGTGATGTCATTAGCAGCGGCAGGCGAACGCATTTGTCATAAAGCAACAAAATGCCCGAAAAATTGAAACGGCTATGGGAATGGACATGGAAATGGCAATGGAAGTCAGCGCTGGCCGCAACCGCAACGTGCGTCACGAACGCCCGCCAATCATCGTCAGTGGGGGCAGGCGAGTGGGATGCGGGCGTGGCCGGGTGCAGTATCAATTGCAGCAGGAGGTGGCGACACTTGATCTATGCCAGTGCTGGTCGTTTATTGAAATTCCTTAATGAGCAACAGCAACAGCAGCAACGGCAGCAGCAACAGCAACAGTCGCCGCGGTGCGTTGACAGTTGAATTGCAATTTCCGCCTCAGGGTTTCCCATCAGTTGCATCTGTTTGTTGTGGGTGTTGCATTTGCATGGTCAATTTGCGTGCAGTTCAATTAAAATGCGCATGCAACAAAGGCTGCCACCGAAAAGAAAACTGTAATTGCAGTTGCTGTCCAGCGCGTCAGACGCGTCCAACGCGTCGTATGCGCAATCAACAAAGTGACAAATTGACTTTTGCGTTTCACTTCTGTTGCTGTTGTTGTTGTTGTTCGCTGTCTGTCTGTCTAGCTGTCTCTCTGTCTGTCTATCTGTCTGCCGCATCCACTGAAGGCTGTTGCCAATTACCGCTAATGTCGCACAGTTGCCGCATTCACATAAAATTAATGATAAGCGCGCTATAAAATAAGTTTTACTGCTGCAGCAGCAGCAGCAACAGCAGCAGACGACGTCGAGTCGTCGGGTTGAAGCAACAGCTGAGTAACGCGCTGTGGCATCCTGCAGCCATATCCTGGCTGCGAAAAGGTTATGTCACAATAAAATTAAATCCAAGCAAGCGTGAAGTAGGTGAAATGCCAGCCAGCATCTCCTCCGCCTCCCCCTCCCCCCACGCCACACGCCCCACGTTTTTTTTTCGCCTTCAACAAATTGAAAAGTTTTGGTCGGGTTTACGACTGCCACCGGTGCGAGGCTTGACTTTAACTAATTGCCTTTCATCTAATTTGCTGCTAAGCGTCTTAGACACTGCCTAAAGGACCAGTGTCCATGGCCGCCCTCTCTCTCTCTCTCTCTCACTCTCTTTCTCTGCTTATCAGCCGACCCAGCAGCCAGCACATTAGCATATTTTTAACTTTTATGCTCAGTGTAGTTGTTTATCTCGTGAAATAAGCTTGCGAAATGCCTGAATATAAAAGTCTTATATCAATCTTGCTACAACTGGATGTCCCGCTTTACTATTCCCTATTCCCGTTGCCGTTTCTCGCTCGCCCTTCTCCTGCCCCTTGTCCCAGTCTTTGTCACTTGCTGCTACGTCTTTTTCGTCGTCGTCTCGCACTGAAACTTTGAAGAGCAACGCACTGAACACTGAGAAGCTGGGAAACTGTTTGCAGCAAGTCCAAGCAAGTCACCGGGCGACGCACCTTCACTTCAGTCATCCACTGTGTTTTCTGTTTTCTGTTTTTCCTTTTTCCTCCCTTTTTTCCATGAATAAATTGCGCAGAATTTATGTGGAAAGTTTTGTGTGTGCGCCGGCATCAGCTCCATTGCCAGCCCGAAATGAAAGTGGCTAGCGGAGTTTAGATGAATCTGTTTGCCTTAGTCTGATGAGTTATCTGCGCAAATGCAGCAGCGGCAAGGGGCAAAGGCAGCTGGCACCCGCCTCCTGCCTCCTGCCTCCTGGCTTACTAGAGCTCCTCCAAAGTAGGCGGCAGGCGGCACTGCAGAATTTATGGCTGAAATGTTAATTGAGCGATGGGCGGAGTGCAAAGCCCGAAGTTGGACCATTGCAGTTTCCCAGCCAAAGTTTTCTGTTTTTTCAACTTTAGACTTTGAGAGGCGGATTTGAAATACGTCCCAGAGCTATATGCAAAACAATGCATATTCGCCGTTTCATTTCGCACGCATGCAGCACGGCCCATTCCTAAAATAAACTTCTCTCTCTCCTTATGTTAATCTAATTGCTAATTTGCCAGGCAAAACAGCGAAATTGATGTTTATAAGCCCCAAGTTGAGCGTCTTTTGTAATTTCTTAGATATTCGTTGCAGCCCCATTAGCTGCGCCATCTTGAGACTCTCTCTCTCTCTCTAGTGCTCTCCGTGGAGGCGTCGCTGGCATTGCACTCGCTGAGGCCTAAGATCCCTTTATGCTCAATTATTAATGCGCTCGATGCTCTCTTGTTGTTGTTGTTGTTGTTGTTTAGTGTCGCCGGCGCTGGCAGCTAAGCGTGTGAGGATTAAGATTTACGCCGCATCGTGCCTAAAAGGAAGGAAGGCATGGAACGTTGGCTGCCCAGCCAGTGTGATTCAGCCCTGACACATGGGCGCCTCATTTCCGAGCAGCCATGCGACCAAAGGCCCACGCCCACAAAATGCTAACCGCAAGCCAAGAGCGAGTCACACGTTGCCATGGCACTCGACATTGTCGTAGCCGTCGTCTGTGACGTTGACGATGGCGGTAACAGCGACGGCAACGGCAACGGCGACGACGCATTATGGTTGCTACGTAATATTGCTGGAAACCGCAAAGAGTGAGGGGAACGCAGCAACAACGTTGCGTATACGTAATATTTCAGCATTTGCTCTCGGGCAGGCACGCCACACGCTTCGCTGCTATTCCTACTGCTGCTGCTGTTGCTGCTGCCGATTTTGCTCCAACTGCTGCCTGCTGCTGTTGGCACTGTCGACTCCATCGCCGTCGTCGTCGTCGTCGTCGTCGTCGCTTCGTTGGCCCCGGCTTCCTTCTGCGTGCCACTGCGTGTGTGGTCTACCATTATCTGTCTGGGAAGCCATTAATTTTTCAAGATTGATCCGGTATGCAAATTACTTACACAGAATGTGCACGAGCGCCAGCAGCGCTTCCTCTACTACTTTGCTGTCTATTGTGTGTTCTATGCGTGTATCTATGATTCGGTGTCTGTGTGTGTGTGTGTGTGAGTGCGTGTATGTGTGCTTGCTTGAGCACCAAATGTGCCGGCTAAAAACGTTCCTGTTATACATTTTATTTTCTATACATTTTCCGCTTGCTGTTGCTGTTGCTGCAGTATCTAATTATTTGGGCGTTGCCGTTAAGGCAGCGAAGAATTTATCACGAAACTCATTTAAAAATATAACTCTTGGGATAATTACCACATCGCCCCGGAGTTCATATACATAAATTGTTGCAATTGCCCCCAGTCTTAATTGCTTTTCGATTCACTTCTGTGGAGTGCGCGGCAAACTCACTTCACGCATCAATTTGCTGCTGTGAAGTGTTATGCACATTTCGCTTCAAGCACACTCAAATGTTTTTTCATTAACTGTGCAAAAAAGGCTGATTCAATTGCAATTTAAACTGTAAACCACACATCAGCTGAATAGCTGTAATTTTACATATTCAAGCGAAAAATCTTTTAACTTGAGCAGATTTCGTAGAGAGAATTCAGATTGATAATCTACAATATTATAATTCAGTATATATTTATGTTTAATATATTTTAATATATATTTTAATATTTATATTTTTTGCCAATTCTGTTATAAACAATCTTTGATCAGCTTGAATTTAATTCCACAACAAATTTAAATTTTTACTTCTATAATTCGCTGAAGTATTATCTGCCAGTGGCACAAAGTCTTAGGCATAAGTACACACAACCACAGCAGCTCCTCTCAAGTGTGTGTGTGTGTGCTCAAAATGACAAAGATCACTTAACGGGCAATGTTAAACAAAAGTCGCTGGCAACATGTTGTAGTTGATAATGCTGATGATGCGAGGGATGATGATGGGGAGGGGGACTATGATGAGGGTACTGTTTGCATACTAGGCGATACAAGCATCATAAGCACAGGCTATATAGAGACACTCACACACACACACACACAATCACACACGCATAGAGGCGAAAGCAAACAAACAGAACGCGAAACTAGCAGCCGCAGTTCTCGTTAACACATCGTGATAGCAATCAAAGCGAAACAAAAGCCAACAAAACACAACAAACAGCAAACGAAACAGGCACATTATCAACATGGTCAAAAGCAGGTACGGGCCACCAGGTACTGATAGGCCCATCAGACTAGGGATATATATGTATGTAAATACATTTTTTCTTGTTTTTTGTTCTTTTTTGGGAATCGCTGCAGGAAGCAGCGAGCCGCTGGGTGTTATCTCGGCAGAGCTTTGCATAAATCAACGTTGCACAACACATTTTTTTTGCTGTTAAGCCGAACTCAAGCGTTAAATTGGTGTGTGTTTATGGAGCGCTCTGGGTGCCTGTGTGTGTGTGTATGTGTGTGTGCGTGTTGGTACAAATTATCTAAGACGCCCCACGTAAAATGCCAAGCAAATTGAACTTGAACAGCGCATGTGGTGGCGTGCGAGTGGCTAGTGGCAAGGGACATGTGCCTGGCTGCAACTACAAGAAAGCAGTACAATAACAGCAACAACAACCACAACAACAACTCCAATAACAACAACGAATAACAAAAATCGTAAGGCAAAAAAAGTACTTGGACGCTCATTTAATTGGCTTATACACAGAGCTCATTGTGAGTGTGTGTGTGTGCATAATTTACATACAATTTACACATAAATTAAACGCAGCCACAGTGTGCTGCCATCTAAGGGGCATGGCCATAGATCGAGCTAACTCCTTATGTTTTAAACTAAGAAGAACTTGGTTGAAATGAGGTAAGTGTAAATATAACGTACAAAATAAAAACATAGCACAAAGAAGCAATAAAAGATAGAAAACACAGAATATTTTTTTCTTAT